TCTTCGGTGTTACGTGGCTTCCAAAGGTAACACCTAGCTTCTCGCTCCAAGGCTGGGCTACAGCCAGGAAGTGTGCCTGCTGGGAGCACTGGTGGAGCACTGGTGGGAAGAGCCAGTGGGCGGAGACAGCACTTGGGAGGGGTGGTGGGACCCGGGCTTTGCCTGGGTGACACCATCAGCACTTGAACAAAAGCAGGAAGACGGCATGGGAAGAGTCAGCGGCCCCCAACTGCAGCAATCTCCGCAGTTCACACCTCCGCTAACCAAGGGGGCCACGAGGAGAGGAAACCAAAGGAGGAGAAGGGCAAGGGCTCTCTTTAGAAAAGTAAGTCAGACGTGTCCTTTCCTCCAGCCGGCCCGAACTCCCCTTGCCCTGTCCGTTGTCTTTGGACACATCCCTGACTCTGCAGCCTGCCGATCCGGCTCACTGTGCCCATGAGATACTGTGTGGTGATTGACAGTGTGTGTCCCAGGCCACAGGAAAGTGACACAAGATTGTTCTGCTGCAGAACTTTGGTCAGTAGCTACGAAGCAGTCTGTGCTAACCTAAGTTGCGAATAATCTTTTGTCTTCTAATAAAAAGAAGGTTTTATTTTCTGGGCACATTTCTCTGGAATTGTTCTCTGTAGATTTTTTCTTTTTAGTCGGTAGTGGAAAATTCGTTCGGTCACTTTCACCGCCTGGTGCTTAATGGGTGGAAGCCGTAAGGGGCTAGGCTTCTCAGGGAGCAACCAAATTGCGAATCAACCCACTCTTTGGGCCCATAAAATGAGCCCATTTAGATGAACCTCATGAATTTTCATCATGAACGAACAAACACCCAAGGCAATCGGAAACCAGAATAATAATACACTATCCCTTCTCATAGTCCATATCAAAGAGCCTAGTCAAATGTATTATGAAGAGAGAAATTATGCTTTTTAATATTCAGTGCTTTCTTTTGGCCATGAATGTATTAATTCAGGGAGCTTGTAAAAAGCATTTTCATGAGTGAGACTTGAAGCCAGACAAAGTAGGTACATACTGGCAGTATAAACAGAATCAAATCTGATTGTTGTGGGATTTTAGAGATAATCTAAGTGTTGCCTAGTTACACACCACAAATTTATTGACCACTTTCTCTAGGTAAGGCACCTGAATGGTGCATAAGGCAGCATGCCCACATTCTGCAGGCAGAAACCAGAATCACCTGGAGCACTTATTAAAATACACATTGCCCAGCTCCAGCCCTGGGGGTTTCTGATTCAGAGTTTCTAGGTCAGCCTGAGAATTGGTGTTTCTGGCGAGTTCTCAGGGACGCTGCCACTGCTGGTCCCAGGTCACCCTGTGAGGCCCGCTCTGCACCACCTCTGCAGACGACTGTTCCCAGGTTTGCTCGGACGCTTGTAATGAGGTGCTGTGAAAGCAGCCCGGGCCAACAGAACCTGAAACTGCGCTGACAAGTGCTTCCCAGGAACTCTATCCCTGGTCCTGATCCTGCCAGCTGGAATTATTTGGGATCCACCTAATCCCCATATAAATGCCTCTGCAAACACATTTATTCCAAGGAAGAATGCAGCTGGGGGTCTGTGCGGCAAATTATACTTTTATGTTCTGTGCCAGAGCGAGCGCTCCTGTTTGGTGTATTCTGCTGTCCAACTCCCAAGCTTAATTTTTTCTAAAAATTGTAATGTGTAAAATAAAAGTGCTTAAGCTTTATGTACACAGCATGATGAGTATTTACATATATTTACACCTATACAACTACCTTCCACATCAGACACAGGCTATTCCAAAATGTTCAGTTGTGGGTCTATGGTGGGGGACACTGTGGTACCCAGAGCCTTTATACTGAGCTGCATCTCCAGCTTCTGAAAGTAATTTTTCTTTTACGTTTTAAGACCAGGTCTCACCAAGTTGCTAAATTGCCCAGGCTGTGCTTGAGCTTGAGAGCCTCCTGCTTCAGCCTCTCAGAGTGCTAGGATTGCACGTGTGAGTTACCATGCCCTGTTCCTCTGTGTTCTTTCTCAGGCAGTACCCACCTCACGAGGAACCATTGCTCCACTTCAGTTGTTTGGGTGCAAAGTGCTTGCTTTTAAACTTGGTGTACATAGAAGCACAGAGAATATGCTCTTTTGCATCTGATGTTTTTATTCAAAATGACTGTGAGATTGAACGGTGTTGTAAGTAGCAGTAGTAACACTTTCACTTTTATAGCCATGCGTTACCCTAACTTTAACATATTTTGTAGTCTTACTTTTAATTTTGTACATATTTAAGGTGGGCAATAATATGAGCTAGTGTAGCTGCTTACTGCGAAGCAGCATGGTGCTAAGTACTTCTGCACCGAATCTTCTCAGTAGTGTGTGATTAGTACTATTTCCGTTTTACAGATGAGAAAGCCAAAGCTCAGTAACTTGCCCAAGGTCTCACAGCTAAGAAGAGAGAATCACAGTTTAAACTCAGGTCCTCCTGACTCATGATCCCGAGTTCTCAGCTGATGTGTGATGCTGTCTCTCTTTCACGGCGCTTCACTGATAACCAGCAGTGTGAGGTGACCGCAGAGAACTACAGTTTCCTGTTTGCAAGGACCTTTGCATTGTCAGCCCCATTTCCTGCCCCTTGTCTGGCGGTTCTAAAGCTCCTTTAGTGCTACATACTGACATTGTCAATGCTCCATCTCACTTTTCCCTTCTCCTTTGGGTGAGTGGTTGGAGGCATATTACCTTATATATGGCTGTTTTTCTACAAAAATAAGACCTCCAACTTTGCAAGCTCTCTGATCACTTCCCAAATTCCTGCCTGTATTAAGTACAAATTGTAGAAGAATCCATGTAGCCGCATGGATACATGCTACCTATTAAGGTTACACCTAGATTGTCTCTAAAAAATAACGGTTCTGTTGAAGGAAATATTTAAACTTCCTTTGATTTTAGTGCCAACTAAACCCTTGGCAGAGGGAAGTTTATCCTTAAATACAAAATCCTGGGTTCACTAATGCCTCATTCCTTTTTTATTCTGCTAATTACAGACTACTAGTTAGCCTCCACCATGCTAACAGTTTGAAAAGACTTAGGGAGAGCATTAGATGCTCTGCAGTGGTTTGAAGCCTGGCTTTGATTCAGTATCTGGATAAAACCCTCCATATATACTTATGATTAAGAACATTTGCTTTTCTTTTCTTTTTTTGGTTTTGGTTTTTTTCTGGTACCAGGAATCGAACTCACAACCTCGTGCTTGCCAGGCAGGTGCTGTGCTGCTGATCTAAATCCCTAGCCCCTACTTTTATTTTCATTTTCTTTATGATGCATGCAGGCCATAGAATTGGGATTTTTATTGCTAGTACATAAACTGGTGTCATTTGGATTTATAAAGGTGAATTGTCTGCTAAATTTCTGTCTTTAGGAAATAAAGTTAAGAATTTAAAAATTGGGCCCCCTTTGCTTGATCTACCATTACACTAGCTTTATTGTAAATCACATAAAATCCATTTATCTGATATCATTTCTGTAACTCTAATTTATATCTTGAGGTTCATTTAGGGATGATTGCCTTGGGAGTTTCTCTTCCTTTAGAGAGCCGTAAGCTTTCTGGGCAAACAGTATGTTAGACCAACCAAATGATTGACGAGGGAAAGGTTTTCTTTATGGGATAATTCCAAAAGGAAGGACTGATAAAACTTGAAGTCATCATCTTGCAAGTTTAATGAAATAGAGGACCTAGCATTCATTAAGAATGAGTTAAATTATTAAGTGAAAAATCGACTTTGTAGTGGGGAAGGATCAGGCCAACAACATTTGCATGCTATCAGTACTTTCATCACTAAAAGTAGACAATGAGATCTTATGTACTTTCTAATGGTAGAGTAGAAAGTATTCAGCATCTCCAATGAGGTACTCTGTGAGGGTTTATCACTAAAGAAGCAGCTCAAAAGCACTGGACCTAACCTAACCAGTCTTCTGGCTTTGACCTCCGGAGCACCAGTAAATACAGGGCACTGAGCTGTGGTTCTCAACATTAACTATACATTATAACCACATGGAGAATTTCTCAAAGTCCTAATGCCCTGGCTGTGTCTCAGATCACTTAAAGGAGAATCTCTGGGCTTGCGCATTGGTATTTTTTTTGTGGGGTGGGGGGAGTATCTGGAATTGAACTCAGGACCTTGTGCTTGCCAGGCAGCCGCTGTGCTGCTGAGCTATATTCCCAGCCTGGCATTGGTATTTTTTTTTTTTAACTGCTTCTCGTAATATTAAAATGTCATCCAAGCTTGGAAATCATCAGAAGAGAGGACTAAGTTAAAGGACACAATGTTTATGTAGTATGTGAGAAATTCCACAGAAATAAACAGTGTTTGCCAACACATAAATAGTACTAGAAAAGGGTAGAAGGGAGGGACATGTACGGATGAAGAGACCTGAGAAATATACACCCAGTGTGATGTGAAGACTTTGTTTTATCCTGATTCAAGCCAATCATCCATGTGTGACATTCTTTAGAGAATCATGGAAATCTAAGTAAATTCTGATTATTAGACGATAGTAAGGCATTGTACATTAATTTTGTTACTTATGATAATGGTTTTGTGGTTAAGGTAGAAAAAAGTTCTTATAGGTAGAGACACATACTGAAGTATTTGTGGGTGAAATATGATGTCTGAGATTTGTTTTAAAATACTCTAGAAAAAACTAGTGACTTCAGACTAGATACAAATGATCAGCAAAATGTAAAGCTGTTAAAGATGAGTGATGCATACGTTCAAAATGAGGGGTTCATTTTGCTATCTTTCTATGTTTGCGTTTCAAAGATTTTCATGAGAAGATTACAAAGGAGGTGTCAGGTTAATTAGATGATAAGATATCTCTCTCACTGTGATACATTAACAGTACACAGTCTCAGAAGATCGTAGGAACTGGAAACCTGCAACAAGATGGAGTTCAACCCTTTGTGTCTATGCAAAAATGTTGTTTTAAAGAAAAATATAGGTTCACTCAGTAATTATGTTTATGTCTTCTTTGCAGACGATTCGGGGCCTCCTCCTTCTACTGTTATCAACCAAAATGAAACTTTTGCCAAAGTGGTTTTTAAGCCTAGTGTGGTACAGCAAGCCAAGATTGCCCAGAATGGAATTTTGGGAGATTTTATCATTCGGTATGACGTCAAGAGGGAACAGAGGATTGGGGACATCCAGGTAACAGATTCTGTGTTGCTGTTTTAAGGTTTCAGACTTTTCTTTAGATTCAGAACTGTTGACTCCAACACTTACCTAAAAGTAAAAGATCTTTCTGGTTCTTAGTAAATGTTTTAACCCAAAATATGTCTTCAAAGAGACTAGTGATACTCTTGCTGGAAGTTGAGAATACCTATTTCCTGCTTCATTAATCTGCACAGCAAATAATATAATTTTTCCCTCTGGTGTTTTAGATGAGGTTAGAATTTTAGTTCATCTTCCCTTTTAATTAAAAGAAACTGTTCCATAACTTATTTTCCCTTTAGGTTTTATTGCTGTAGAGACAGGGTAAGAATTTTAAACTGTATTAATGTGTATCTAGAATATAGACAACCTCAGTGTCTCAACGGGTAAGATGCTTGGTAAAAACTAAACACTACAGGAAGCAGGACTGTCAAGTAGAAAGGTCAGAGGGGATGGAAAAAAATTAAAGCTGAACTGATTATTATGATCAGTAATTTTTTTTAAGTGCTGAGAGATCCAACCTAGGGCCTTGTATGTGTTAGACAAACTGTCTACTACCGAGCTGCACCTCCAGCTCACAAAGAATAGAATTTAAAATGATGATTCTTTTCCAATAAAGGCTAGCAACTAGTTCTTTTGGGGGATCAGGACCATAGATGTTGTGACCTTAGACTGTTTCATGCTGTCATTGAGCTCTAGAAATTCCTAGGTAATTTTCCTCCATTTTTACTTGATTTTTCCTCCACCAGGTTCTAAACGGTTATTTTGTGCATTACTTTGCTCCTAAAGACCTTCCTCCTTTACCCAAGAATGTGGTCTTTGTGCTTGATACCAGTGCCTCTATGGTAGGAACCAAGCTCCAGCAGGTGAGTGAGTGTCAACTGCCCGGTTTTTCCTCTCTCAATCTTGCCAGGGACAACGATCAGCCTTGTGAATAAAGTGCACTTGATGTCAGTGCCCACTTACCCGGCTATTCCTACCGACAAAGAGCATTCCTGAACGGATCCACTAATGTCATGGATATAAACTATGTTTTACTGTGGTGGTTTTCAGAGAGCAGGGCAATAGGGTACAGAAATCCTTTGACATTCAGGGCACTGGCAGAGTGGATGAAGTGAGTGAGACAGGAGCAATGCAGTGAGATGGCCACTCAGTACCACTGTTGGCAGAATAGTTCTGTTCAGTGGTGCTTCCTTTGAGAACAATGGAGTAGAATCCTTGGAAGCTCCCTTGGCATATCCTTAGAATAAAGAATTCTCACAGAATTTGCAATGAGTCTCAAAAGTACAGGGCTGGAAGGGACATTAAGGGGACATGTAATCCCGGATGAAAAAGTTAAATTATCCTGAAAATACAACTATTTACATATTTTACAAACCATTACCTTTAGGTAATTCCTTTTCTTACTCTGGCATCATAAATATTAGAATTTAGCATTTGCGCTATATTCTCAACTCACACAATGTCCTGGCTTTCATGTCGCGGAGACGCAGGATCTCACACCTGCAACTTGAAGAAGGTTATTTTAGCTCTTGGTTTCAGTCTGTGGTTGCCTGGCTCTGTGACAGACAGGGTGGAAGAGGGCATGGTAGAAGAAAATGTGCTCATGCCATGGCAGTAGGAAGTAGACAGAGAAGGGAGGAGCCAGGGATGATAATATACCCTTCCAGGCCGCACCCCCAATGATCCACCTCCAATCAGACTCCACCTCCTAACAGCATGGCAGCCATAATGCTGCCATGATCCAATCACCTTTCAAACCCATGAGACAGTTGGGGAATATTTTATTTCTAAATCCTAACATAACGTAAATTGAGCACTACTGTTGCCAGATGATCAATACTTATAAATTCATCAGCCACTGAGGTCCTTCAGCTTTAAATTCATTATCTATTTTTTCAGTTAGTGATGCATGCATAGAATAAGATACTGTCTCAAAGCTCAAGAGAATCCTCTCTGCCACCTGCTTCGGCTAAACCTTGTTCTAGCTAGTAATTATTGTACTTTATCTCAGTCTATTATGGTGTAAATGAGTTCTTTTATTTTTTAATTTATTTTTTAAAATTTATTTATTTATTTATTTATTTTTTGGTACTGGGAATTGAACTCAGGACCTTGCGCTTGCCAGGCAGACACTGTGCCACTGAGCTATACCACTGGCCCAGGTCTTTGATTATTTATACCTTTTAAATCATGTAGTAAATTTTATTAATTTTTTTTTGCCTTTACCCCCAAACAACAAAAATGTACATTCCAAAATGGGATGTGAAGATTAACTTTTCTATCAGAATATAGCTAAGTATCATTTCTAATTAATATAGGCAGAAGAGAGCCTCACCTCTAAAACACGTCCTTATAGCTCTTCAACATCACATTTTTGTCTAAGTCCAGTTTGCCAGCTCCTGCATTTTTATTGCTCTTCTCTCCAGCCTGCACCTCTGACTTTCTGTTCTTTTGGAGGAAGAACACCAGTAATATTGTTAAAAGTCTTTTAAATTGTGGGTGCATTGTAAAGAATTTTCCTAGTTTCATTTATCTGAAAAAAAAAAAAGACTGTTTACTTCACTCTTTAAAGATATTTTACTGGATATGGAATTCTAGGTTGGCTTCCAGTGTCACTAGCTTCCATTGTTACTATTGAAAAGTCAGTAAAAGTTTTAACTGCTGTTTCTCTGAGGGGTGTTTTTATTTTGGCTATTATTTAAAAATTTTTCCACTTTGTCTTTATTTATTTATTTTTTAGTAGCTTTAGGATGATGGTTCTAAGCATGGATTTATTCTTATTTATTCTGCCTGAAATCTGCAGTAGGCTTGTATGAATTTGGAAATTCCTAAGCATACTCAGCCATAGTCTCTGAAATTGCTTTATCTTGTGTGACCCCAGTATTAGAGCCTCTTTCTATTCCTGGTTTTCCATGCTCCCTTCTCTATATTCTGACTGTTTTCCATGCCTTCCTCCAAAGCTATCTTCCAGCTCACAACTGTTCTCTCTAGATGTCTAGTCTGTTGTTAGACTTACCCAGAGTTATTTAATTTATTGTACTTGGTATTTCTAGAAATTCTGTCTGATTCTTTTTCATATCTGCTCTGTCATTTTGTTTTATAAATAATATAAACTTTTTTGATAATGATTTTTATTTTCTTGAGTACAGTAACATGGTTATTTTATTTACATTTTATTAGTACATGTTTGCAGTATACAATGATTACAGTTTTGTGGGGAGATGGTACATGTATAACATGTATGTATATATATAACATGTACATATATATAATATGTACATAACAAAAATTCTTTTTTCATCTTCTACATTTCCCATCCCTCCTGTTCCTTCCAACTCTTTGTCCCCTTCCCATTTGCGAAAGCTCTATTTCCATTTTTTTATTTTTTTATTTTAAAAATAAAAGGGGAAAGCATTAACAGACAGACAACCCTTTACAAAATAGCAAAAGAACAGTATAAACAATACAGAGTTACAAACAAAGTGGTAGGAAATTAACAGTGCTTGTTGTATCATCCATTCGTTTCTTCAATTCTTTTTTTTCCATCGCCTTTTCCTTCCTCCGTCCATCGTAGTTATTTTAAAGTCTCTGTCTCATAAATTCCAATTTTGGGGAATTTTTAGGAGCTGTACTTATAATCTCTTGCCTTCTCTTCTGGTGTGGACAGATACTTTTGCTTGCATAATTGACACTGTACTTGAAAATTTGTGGAAACAGCTTGAGGCCTGGAATAACGGGGTAGTCATCTAAAGTTTTGGTTTGTTTGTGTTGGATACCTGGGAAAATTAAAATCTGGGATCATGTTAGTTCATTTTCAGGGCTTCAGTGTTTTCTCTGTAGCCCAGATGTCTCCAAGCTGATTTGTAGTGCTTTCAAGTGCTGGTATATTTCTGTTTTCAACAAAATACACAAGGTTTGCCAGAGCATCCACCCATGGTGGACTCTGGACTTAAACTTTTGGCACCCAAAGTCACAAAAATGATGCTCAGGCTCTGAAACCTCTTTGGCTTTGACAAACATCTTTTAGAAGAAACTGATCTCAAATGCTGAGCTTATTTCTTTAAATTTTCATCTTATCCTAGACCTTTTCCACACTGTTTTGTTAACTCTCTGGTACTTTCAAGATTTAAAAAATATATACGTTTTCTTTGGCTTTATGAGTTGTTCTCAGTGAAAGGCTGATTCCAAAATGCCTGTAGGTTTCTCATGTTTTTCTCAAAGTTTAAATCACAGCCAAGTGAAGCGTACCTTGATAGCAGTGGACTACTTATTAATATTTGAGAGATCTCATAGCTGTTCTAGATTTACGAAGTGCTTTATAAAGATATGAGCTTTCTGTATATTAAGTTCTTAAGTACCATCTGTTGACCAAACTGTTTTTCTGACTTTGGTGTCTAGATTATAGATGTTGGCAGAGGGTAAGCATGACTTCTCTGAGGCCTTTCTTTACCACAGAATACTGTATTCATTAGGTTTTACATATAACCTACATGGCAGTCCCACCTAGATTTTGAAATAATGAATGGTTACTAGGTATTTGTCATATGTTAGATTCCCATATGTATCCCCTTTATGTTTTCATATTTTCTTTCCTTTCTTTCCCTTCCATCCTTCTTGCTTGTCTTCCTTTTTCCTTCCTTCTTTCCATCCTCTTTCCTTCCTTTGCTTTCCTTCTCTATTTCTTTTCTCTCCCTTCCTCTGTCTTTTAAATAATTAATAAATGCAGGGTTTATGTTTCCCTTGAACAAACATAATATAAAGATACTGATGATTAAATTTACCACAAATAGCATTGATTTCTATTACCATCACATATTTTTTGTCCTGATGTTTTTATTTACGTCATATCAAGAATATATGTAGTGAAGGATTCCTTTAAATCCTGATTTTAGTTGCCACGGAGCAGCACCCCCTAACAGAAGCTTCTGTAAGGATGACAGTGTTCTGACCTGCGCCGTCCAACATGGCAGCCACTAGTCCACTGAACACTTGACATGTAGCTGCTGCAATCAACGAATCGACTCTTTAATTTAATTTAAATAAATTTAAATTTGAATGGCTAATGGGAGGATAGAGCTGTGGAACATTTACTCACGCCGTCCATGACGGACTTTTAAGTTATTCTGATTTTTTGCCATTGCACGCAGCATTGAGATGACTATTTCTCTGTAGAAAACCTTCATAAAACATCCATTTGTTTACTTAAGTTAGATTCTTATAAATGGGATCACTGGGGCACGGAATACCAACTTCATTTGTAAGTTTTGATAAATTACAAAAAAATTCTTCCAGAAAGACTGTACTGATTCACAACATTGAAGTCTGTTACCACAGGAGGAATTTTACCTGCACTAAGGGTTAAAAAGATTGACCAGACTCAAAGATCTATAAAGAAATATACACACATATTTAGCTAGTTTTGAATGAAGGGGAAATTATTTGAGCCTATAAGCAAAAAGTGAAAGTAATTACAAAAAGAAAAATCAATAATTTTAGCTATATAAAATTTGAAATGCTGTTTTAAATTTAAAAAATAAAAGTCAATAAAAGGCTGGAAAATTCTATGAAGGAAAGAGATAATTTATCATTACTATATAAGGAGGTGTTCAAGATCAATAAGTTAATCCTGCGTTAGAAAATGAACAAAAAATATGAAGCAATCCACAGTGAAGAAATAAGAAGATTCAATAAACTTATGAAAAAAGGCCAAATGTAATACTAATTAAAGAAATACAAGTGAAAAAACTACTTTTATTTTTATAGTTTCAAACTGTAAATCATGTGAATTACTTATGACACTTTCAACAGTAGGCAATGTAGAAGTGAACACTATTATAATATTTAGATTTCTTCCCAATAGATT